TGTGTGTGTGTGTGTGTGTGTGTGTGTGTGTGTGTGTGTGTGTGTGTGTGTATGCTAGGTCGGATTAGGGATAATGCTCCTGATTCTTCGGAGCCCCAGGCACGCGACAGTTTTGCTTGCTTTTAGATTAAGTTTTGCTTTTACTTAACAAATATCATTCTAAGGACACTTGTATCTTCTCACTTTAAAATGACATCTCGCGTGGAAGAAGCCTGTATATCTGTATGTTGTATACTGGAAGCAGTTCTTTGAAATTTGCCTTCCTTCAGTTTTTTTAACTGTTAACGCTGCGCATTTGGTCCGCTCATGGTCGTTCTATTAAATTTATAGGTTTCCATCTCAATTTTTGAGCGCTTTCATTTAGACAGCTACGTATTTATTGCCTACTTTTGGGCCTTTCAAATGGAATGCAAAGCTACAGTATTTTCATGCAAGAAATTGTTCTAAAATGTTATCACAGGATTTAAACGGAGCCACACATCAGTAACTTTTATAAGTAACCATTCACGCTTAAAGAATATTTTATGCGTTATTAGGCATCATGACTGCTCCCGCACTGCCATTGAAATGTTTATCTTTCTCCATATATATGGGATTATAGAAAAATTGAATGTAACTTGAAGCTTCTTTGCTTACTGAATGAAGTGTATCAAGATTCCCATCAAGATGACGTTTTGTTTCTAATCAATTATAAATGTTTAACCATAAACGGCATACAATAAAATAGAAAGGCAAAAGAAAAAAGGAAAAAATCCTTCTTAACCAATATATCATAAATTAAGCAAACACATGACGTGTCACTTTATCTTCTATTTATCATGTGTGTATACAGGCAGGCGTTCATGTTAAAGTATATGTGTATGCTAAGGATAAGAGTTAATGCCGGCCAGGCCGGTAAAAATTAAATTTCAATTTAAATCACAGTAAACGATATATGCGTATGTATGTTTTTGCAGTTGTTCACTATTTTTCATTGGTATTTTTTTTATATTTTTTTATTTTTAATTTTTTTTCGTTTTTTGTAAATAAGAGCATTAGAAGTGTACGCATGTCCAACACATAAGCATAACAAGAGAGAATTTATATTCGATTGAAGGTGAATCGTTTGATATCCTACCAAATTATTAAATTACAGAAAAATAGAACATAATAATAATAATAATAATAATAATTTCGCTTACCTAAATTGCTTTCTTAACCGGAAAATGCAATTTCTTTAAATGCAATGTTTGGTCCGAAGTGTAATAGAGATTTTATGCTATATCATTTTATAGGGGCAAGTAGCACTTTGTTTGTGCAAAACCTTTACGAGTCATACGGATCAAGAATGTTCGTTCTCGAGTATTGTGTGTAACAAACGCAACAACAAAATTAATTGATAGAATAAAATGAATGATGAATGATGAAATGTGAAGAGTGCAGAGAGATGAAGAGGAACTACTTGAAATTGAATTTCAGATATTACGCTGAATTTGAATATGATCAATTTTTATTTGTTTTTTCTTTTCCAATACGAAGCAGGAGATATTATTTCGTTGCAGTTCAATATATACATAGATTTTTTTTTTCTTTGTCTGCACATTTCAACAAAATGTAATTTTCCTATCTTTGCCATGTTCATTTATCATATTTTACGATAATCGCTAAGAAATTACAGCTTTGGTTAAATCATTCATTTATTTAGCTAATTGCAAGAAAGCTATAATAACTTTGAAGTAAATTTTAAATTGTCCAACATCGCGAATATATAAAATTTTTTAACATTTTTTTTTATACTTTTTTCTTTGTTAATAATAACGAACATTTCAGTCGCTTGATCGCAATCATTTTTGCGCCATTTTTCAACATAATATCGACCAGAATTTTTTTCAAGTTGTTGTTTGTTGCTTTTTTAACATGTTTATCTGTCGTGTTTATCAGCAAATTTAATTTTCTTTGTAAAATATTTCAATCTTCTATCTTAAAATATTTATTGCTTCTCTTCCGTGACAGTTGAAAAGGCGGACACTCAAGAAGGAGAAAAATAACAACAAATATTGAGAACATTACGGTACGTTATGTTAATTAAAAACATTTAATATAACATATATATATATATACATATATATATATTTATGTGTATGTTTAAATAAAGCAATTTTTAATTTTAATCATGTTTATGTATAAGTAGATGTTAAAAATTATCTCGTTAATTGTTTAAATTTATATGTGATATTAAAATATCAGTTATCCAATGAATAAAAAGTATCATGTTAATCATCTCTTTTTGATTCAAAATTATAACATGCAATAATCATGCTTGTTTGTGCAAATTTTCATAAACTTGGCAACATTGTTGTAGTAAAATAATATGATTGAGCTTTTAATACATTCGCTAAAGACATTTAAGTGCTAGAAATTTTGTGAAAATGAAACATGTGGACAGGCGTACAATGTGTGTCTCTCTTTCATATTCGCTCAACAAATCGTTCTCTTAGTATAATGTGTGTTTTTACAAAACAAAATAATCCCCTCACTCCGAACACAAAGAATAATGTGTACAAATACACAATATTATTACAGACAATTTTATGTTATGATGACAACCGATTCATTTTAGTTTAGTTTTACTCTCTCAGAGATTTCTTCATGGCATGTTTTAATCACGTATTGGTGGCATTGTTTTTGTAAAATTTTACGTTGAGAGAATATATTCTCTATTGATTGATATTTACTCTGAGAATTGATTTATTTTTTTTGCAACTGACTGATTTTCGATGTATATTTTTAGTTACATATTTTAGTTAACGCAGTTAACGCAAAATAGCGGAAAAGAACGGATGGAACGGATATACGTTTTAGGGGAAAACTGGAAATTTGTATAAAATATTTTGGTGGAAATGGCAAAGTAATGAGAACCTTTCAACTTAGAGCATAAAAAAGACGGAAAAACAAAAAATCGACTGAATGATAGCAAAATGCTTATATGAGAAGTGATATGCGTCTAATAAATCAGTCTGCGGACAACAATGGAATGGAACCGATGGAACCGATAAGTTAATGTACGGTTGCCAAAGCGTAAAGGACCCTTCTTCGAAGAGAAAATTTATATTAAATTAATTAATTTAAAAAAAAAAATAAATAAAAAAATTAAAAAAATACTCGAAAATCGAAAAAAAATTTCCAATAAAGCAAAATCCCGTAGTTTCTTGCGTCGCATAAAAGTAAGAAGTTATGAAAAATTTCAACTATTACAAGTAAAACCACCGGCTGATGTACAATGCCTGGTATTGTATATCAGAGAAAGTGAATGATACAAAAGCGCAAAATTGTTTTAGTTGAACTAGTTAAATTAAATAAAAAATAAATTATTTAAAAATGTTTTTTAAACATTTTTTTACCCAAAAAGTTAATTGTTTCTAGTTGTTGTGATTTGTGAATGCTTGTAGTGGCAGCAAAACAAATCTAACAAGAATCTATGCAAACTATGCAAAGTGAATAAAAATATTCTTAGTAGAGTGTTGTGCGGAGTATGAGAGAGAGAGAGGCTATATTTATGTGAGTAACGTCTCTTTATATATACGCAACTACACGCACGTACACGCATATCGTTGAGCGACAAACAAACGCAATAAAACGTAAGTCGTAAGAAAATAATGCACAAAGAATACACAAAGAAAAATTTCATTCAAAACAAAATACACAGCAACAATAATACAACATTTTTATATAATAATTTTATGCGTAAGAGCGAAAGAGTACACTCTAGATGTTACATACACGTTATGCACACAGATTAAGTTTCACATGTTTTCTCCACATACGTACGTATGCATCGCTGAATGATATTTGAATAGCAGACATAAAAAAAAATTGGCTTTTTAATGTAAAATAAAAAAATTTAAAAAAAAAAATAAGAAAAAATATGTAATTTTTCTTGCCTAAAATTTATATTTAATTTCTATTTAAGAAAAGTTCTCGTAAATTTTTGTTTTTAAAAGAAAATAATCATTGTGAAGTGTCGTCTTTTCTTTGTGAATGATTGCATATGCATATGAATCTATATATATATATATATATATATATATATATTTATGCATATATTTCACATGTGTGTGTATATATATATGCATGTGTGTGTGTGTGTGTGTGTGTGTGTGTGTGTGTTTATTTTAACATTTTCTCTTTTCTTATTATTTCTATTAATGTGTATTCGTGTTTTGTATATTTTACGTAGTGGTATTGTTTTTGTTGTTGTTATTGCTAATGCTGGAGCTTATGTTGTTGCCCTCTCTGTTATTGTCTGTGCTAACTAACCAGACAGCGCCAACGTCGTGACACTGACTTGTAGTACCACAGTCTGCTGCTTCTCAAAGTTATTCTGTTTGCTTCATCACGTCTATTTGTTTGGACAATTATTTCCCAAGTACTCTGTGCTTATGAACAAAATAAATAAGAAATATGCTAAAGGAGAACGTAAAACCATTTTACTTTATAAGCTTTTCTTTTTTTTTTCTTTTTTTTTTTTTTTGCCGTATAATGACATTCATACATGAAAATTACCTTCAAAAAAGGATAGTTATCGCGTCATTTTTCACATCAATTTACTCATTCGAAAGGATAACAGTTGGATATATATACATATATACATCTAATCCTATCCTAGTAATATATTAACATATTAAATGAAAAATGTCGCGTTCTTTCTGAATAGCGCAAGTATCCTGATTTTGAATTACTTTACATACTAATTAACTTTATTTGCTATTAAACCTTTGAATAATCAGTTTGACTGCATATTTGGTTATATGTAGAAGAGGCGGAGAAGGTGGAGACGACTTTTACTGTCTGCCCATTTGTAAGGCATTTTTCAAAATGGGCGATCAAGATTCTTGGGCCTTTATTCACTGAGTTCGATAAGGTTGACAAATTTTATTATTGAAAGTTATGCTTGTTCGTCATCCTTTCAACCTATCTTAGTACATAAAGAAAATTATGGCTTTTGGTGTGAAGGCAATCGATAAATTACTTCTGCGCCAAATTTTTGTGCATTCCGTAAAAGCTATCGTTTGATGCGATTCTTGCCCTGATGACGTTAGCATCCTTTCTCTCGCTGATAATGAGAAAGTAGATCCTGATATCCTGATATAGATCGATCGCGCGAATTGAAAGGTTAAAGAATTGAATTGTTATGTGATAAATTTGACTGATATTGAAATGATTTCCAGAAACTCCGATATCGAATGGTCCCTAAAGGATTGTTATTTGACATTATTTCTCACTTCTTATTGAAGCAATAAATCAAACTTTTTTCATATATTAAGAACTAAAGACATTATAGTGGACAACCGCCGAACACGTCACCCTACAAATATTCATATAACGACTTTTCAAAAGTAATCAAATAACGTGGTGCGAGCCGAATCATCTCAAAAATTGCGGATTAGTTCAACACGACAAAGCAAGAAGGACGGACAAGATTAAATTGATTTAGAAAGTGACTCTGGACCGATCGTTAATATAAAAGATGGGTCTATCTTTTATCCTTCTGGGTGTTACATATAACCGCCCAAGCTTAGAGCACCGCAAAGTACAAACATGAATATTGAATGCTTCGTGGGTAAAAAATTAAGCTAATTTTAGTGAACAAGAGGATAAAGGAAAGAAGATATTGTACTATTTCATTGGATCGACTATATTTCAAAAGAGAGGAAAAAAAATTTATTTTATAAACGAAACCAAAAACCACTGTACGAAGAAATTTTGGATATCGACAATATAAAGCTGCTCTATATATTAAGGCCCGACATATAGATAAAATATATCAGTTTGTCGATTTAATCCATTATTATGCCGTTACTTTACATACATAGTTACACAGTTGTAACAGGTTTGTGCTAAATTTCCGATTGATTTCCGTTATCGTAGCCTGTAATTAATGGGAGATATCGGACTGAAATTTTGAGAACAAAATATTTTGCCTACTCTGGGTACGTTCATGAGTAAACGATATCTGTGCACTTACGCCAACAATGCATGTTTCAAATTTTTGGTAGGAAAGAGACAGAGACAGAGACATGAACACGGATCCTCGACTTGTAATCTAACGTTGTTATGGATTGTATGCGAAGAGCAGTACATTGTAGATATAAAAGTATTGTTCGTACTGTTGAAGGAAATTTTCATGTGTTTATAATTGTTTGTTTCATGTGTAACTCAACAGCAGCAAATATATAGATTTCATGTCATGTTTGTAATCTCTTTTAAAAAATTGATATTCTCCCTTTAAGCAAGGGATGAGAGTATACACACACACACACACACACAACAGTAGCAAATCCGTATCGGCACCCTTACGAAACGTACATGATCTAGATCCGTTTACAGTTCTGATTTGCTTTAGTTATCTCCGTTTGTCGGTCCGGTTGGCATTCCCGATGGAAAAATTTATATGGCAAAGTAAAACTTGCCAAATGCACTTTTAAGCCCAAATCATGCATGGTCAGCTTGAGCTGTGTAAAATAGTGACCGAGCTTTGCCGTCGCGTTCATTGTTCAGGCTGATATTTCGTTCCTTTCACAAGTTTTAATAGTTTTATGTTGGTAATGCAGATTTATTGAGAAAGAAAATAAAATAAAAAAAAATAAAAAAATTTTATATGAAATTATTTTTCCCGATACCAATACTATTGCAGTGAAATTATTTCGATTATATTACGATCTGGTCATTTATATCAGCAAATCACTCAACCTGTTCGCAGCGTTCTAATCTCAAGCATGACTTTGTGTTTACCAATAAAAAAAAAAAAAAGACAAAAAGAAAAAAAAAAAACAAGAAACACTGCATTGTAATGTTAATTGATTTGTCAGCATTCGACAGTGTTTCTCTATATTATTCGCAAACTACGGACATTGTCTGATGAATTCCATACACATATTGTCCAAGTGTTAGTCTGGAAGAGATTTTCTTCATGCTCAACTTTCACTTTCACTTTGATACTGACGCAAAGTCTGTAATAAATAGAAAACTTCTGTCAATACAATAGATCCAAATGATTGCCAAACGTTATTGTGCCTCCGCACTGTTTTCGCTCCTTTACGCATACATGATGGAATTGATGTAAAATCCATTGCTAGTGAAACGTGAATTCAATTCCCTGTAGTCTAATTGAGTTTGTCTGCTGCTATTAGTGTTACTGTCTTTTTTTTTCCTTCATTTACTCTCCGCTCTTGATTTTGACTCCTATACATGTGTTTGACTGCCTCAGTTAGCCCCATCTATCTATATAAGTATTGTAGTAAAAGAATGTGTGAAACGATTGTTGTCTTTTTTTTTTTTTTTTATGTGTAATTGCAGTAGCTATTGCTGATATGATGGCTGCTGCTGCTCCTGCTGCTGCTGCTGCTGTTATTATTATTGTTGTTGTTGTTGTTGTTGTTACTGCCGCTACATTTTGTGGCTGCCATTATGGCGTTTGTTGTCGTGTTAGGGGAAAAAATAAAACCAAAGCAACCCTCTTTTCCCGGCTCGTATAGAAAGAGTCCAACAAACGAAATAAACAGACATCTTCTGCTGTCCTTTAGGATAAATAAACAAAACACTGCCAGAAGGAAGACATAACAAAAGAGAGAAAGCAAAAAGCGTTTTGTCAACACACCTGAATAAAAACAAAGTGACACGCGACAAAAGTTGATTATAGCAAATATTGAAAAAAAGAAAAAAAAAAAAAAAAAAAGAAAAAAGTGTAGCAAGCAACTACACAACTGCTAACCTTTTACTTCTTTAGAATAACGTGAATTTTTGTGCGAATGTGTGATGTGCGATGCGCGATGTGTGCGTCAAAAGATAGATCGAAATCTGATCGACTTTTTCAAATAGAATCCTGACAAGCGGAGCAATCTTAAAACATCTTGAGCTGCGAACTTTCAGTTAATCAGTTTGATTATCATATTTGCAGCTTGACGTATAGCTAAAAAGAGTGTTGCCCTAAGCTTGCATTGATGCTAATTAGATTAGATTGATTTTTTTAATTTGTATGTTTCTCAAATTTTTGTCTCGAAAGCGGTCCTCGCATGTATTTATATAAACCTATGATGCATCCAAATTGAATTAGTTCCTAATGACTTGCTTCGATCATCCATCAACTAATCATCAAACACCAATGGATCCTCATAGTCTATTATAAGGAATAGCAAGCAATTTTTAGAACAATATCTGTTTAGCACATTTCAATTCGACCAAAAGTGGACTTTTTTTTTTTTAAATATTTTCTAAATACATTCGAAATAGTGAATATTAAAATGCAACCCTGTCTTTTTGTAAAAACTTGTACTCTTTAATATTAAAAAGAAACATTTTCTTGGTAAAATAATTTCAGCCTGTATTAGCCGCGCCACCCTCTCTGTGAAGGATAACAACTGTCAATTGGAAAACGTAGAGACACCCTTAGGTTGTAACAAAAGCACAAAATAAAAAAGAAAAAAAAAAAAGAAAAGGAAAAACGAATTTATTTATTGCTAAAGTCACATGAGATTTTTCATCATCATAGTCCTCATCATCATCATCATCATCATCATCATCATCATCGCTGTCGTTGTTGTCGCCGTTCTCGTCTTTGCACACAACAAACTCATTGTAA